TTTATGGAAAAACAAAGATAGGAAGTGGCTGAGGTAACTGCAACTATTTCAGAATCTTAAGAATGCCTAAAACACTAAGGATTCCTCTCACAGCATAATGATAACTACTCTGGAATCTGTTAATGGATAACTATGATAAGGTTTTATAAACTTCATTTAAAGTTGTCCTTGGGGACGGAAGGATGGCTCACAAGTCAAAGGAGGGAGCACTTGCTGCTCTCACAGAGGACTTGAGTTCTGTTCCCAGCATCCATAGAATGGCTCATAACCATAAACTCTTGATCTTGACTTCCAAGGAATCTAAGGCCATCTTTTGACCTCCTTAAGCTCCAGGCTCTCACATGGTAAACCTACAGACACATAGGCAAAACACTCATACACATACTTAAAAAACAAAATTTATGTTGTCTTGACAAAAATTTTTACTTTTGACTCCCAGATCTTTATTAAGCCCTATTTCAGGAATGATTCTAAATCAAAAACACTAGGACACTTTTTTTTTTTTTAATGGTGGTGGTGGTGGTATGTACGAATGCCAGTGTCTGTGCTTAAGAACAAGTTGCTAGTCTTTTCTCACAGTGGGGTGCAGGACCAATCTCAGAGGGTCAAGTTTATAGGGAAAATGCATATACCCACTGTGCCACCTCTCTGGTTCTAAGTTCTGGTTCTCTGTTCTGGCTTTTGTTATTGTTGTTGTTTGGTTTGTTTGGTTGTTTTTGGTTTGTTTGGTGTTTGGAAGGGGTTCTTTTTAGCAAAAAGCACAAACCAAAACAAATATACTACCACCCAAAAATAACTCCAACAAAAACCATTCCTAGAAGGTTCTCTAAGCAGCCCTCTCAAACTTATCTACAATTTAGACCTTTTGTTAGAAGATATCAGTAAGTAGCCTCACCCCAGACTGATCAGATGAGAGTCTCTAGGGACATCTGGTTGTATAAGTACTTTTACTTGTAGCCTCTGCTGAGAACCATCCATGTCATTACTTTTTCATATAGATCCATTTTATTCAGCCAATTTTCAAAGAGCCAAGAAGACCTTTCCCTACTAAAAGGGGTATGAATTAAGTATACTTAGCCCAACACAAAAGATTAAAATCAGGGCAAAAAGATTCCATTAATACTGTAAGTCAACTAACATATCAAATATGTCAAAGTCTAAGCTATTTCTAATTTTCCCCAAACCCTAAATTTCACAATCTCTGAAATGGCACTACATTTTATAATGTACTCAAGAGCTCATTAATTCCAAGAAAGCCAAGTAGAAACAACTATGAACTTTGAAACTAAAAGCCCCACATGTATACTTTAAATTTTTAAAAAATTAACATAGATCCAGGCAATGATGGCACACACCTTTAATCTCAGCAGAGACAGAGGCAGGTGGATCTCTGAGAGTTCAAGGACAGCCTGGTCTAAAGAGTGAGTTCCCAGACAGCCAAGACTACACAGAGAAACCATCTGGAAGGACAAACGACAACAAAATTATCATGGAGAGAAGATGAGATGGCTTTAAGAGGTAAAGGTGCTTCCACAGCATCCCTGACAATCTTAGTTCAATCCTCAGAACACACAGGGTAGGAGAAAACTGACTCCCAGAAGTTCTCCTCTACCTACAAACATACACGCAAAATAAATGAAAATGTAATTTAAACAACACATACATACATTACTATTAGCCAAGAAAATTAATATTCCAAAAGGAAAACAAGACTATTTTCTAAATGAGATGATCATGCAAAAGCTATAAAAGCAGCCAAGAAACAACAAATGAACAACTTATTTTGCTATGAAAATGTTTGAAAAACTTCCTTTTTCAGGGGCTTTGGATGATATTCAAAGACCTTGCAACTGGACTGGAAGGAGGGGGACATAATAATGAAAGGTTCATTTACTAACATTATAGTTCTAAAGAAGCAACATAAGTATCGGTAAATCCAGAAACAACAAGCCTCTTACTGACTAGAATAGCACTAAAGCATGCTTCTTCATTTCCACAGTGAATTTGGGAAGACCAAACAAACACATCAACAGGTGTATATTTACTGAAGCAAACCTGAAGCAAAGAGCCAGTAAGGAAGAAACAAAGGACAACAGAGTTCATGAACCTTTTTAATCTAACAATAGGAAACAAAGGGCTTTGAAGCTAACAGTGTTCTAATACAGTCTCCGCCATATAGGAAACTTACCCAACCTCCAGGGTCTCATCAGTAAACTGAGGCCAATGACAACAGTTCTTACCTCACTGTACTGTTTTGGTTATGCTTGAGACAAGGTCCTTCACTATGTAACTCTAGCTGGCCTCTAACTCTTAGAGTTATGCCTGCCTGTGCTTCCTGAGTACTGAGATTAAAGGCATCCACCGCCATACCTAGTTCCTCGATATATTTTAAAGAAGATTTTTAACACTAACGTTGCAAGGTCAAGATTTATCCAGTCAAAATTAATTCCTTCCACTTATACTAATAGCACTTTTCCAAAGAACCTCCCCTAAATAAAGGGGCACAGGTACATTCTGTATGTTATCAAATCTGTAGCCCAAAATTACCATAAAAAATCACTTTCAAATTTCAAAAACAGTCTTAATTTCCATAAAGAGGAGTTTTTGAATCAGAGCAGCTCCTGACAACATTCAGCCAAGCTACCTACTGTCCCAATACCCTTTGTCTTCTACACAACCAACCACAGTCGAGGAGGTAACACAAACTCCAATACTGAAAAGTATACCTCCTCTTTGTTTTTTTTCTTTTTGTTGTTTTGTTGTGTTACGTCATACAGTGTGGGGGTGGGTGCCTACAAACCCTCCTGTGGAAGTCAGAGAACTAGTCTCTAGAGTTAGTTTTCCCTTCCATCCTTTGGTTCCAGGGCCCAGAATCAAGCTGTCAGGCTTCAGGGCAAGGGCCTTTACCTGCTGGGCCATCCTGTGGGCCTATTTTTGAGGCAAGGTCTCTCATATTGCCAGGCTAGCTTTAAACTCACTATGAAGCCAGTGGCAGTGGCCTTGAACTCTGAGTCATCTTGCCTCCTCCTCTCAAAGGCCTTGGACAGTATTTGTGAACCACCACACTGGGCGTGGATCCCTTTACTTGAAATACTGAAAGAATGGCTTAGGTGTAGAAGAAAAAAAAAAAAAAAAGAAAAGAAACACTGTATAAGAACACCAAAAGTATGTATACTACTGTTCAAAAACCCACACTATCTCAATGCATTTAGAAACACAGAACACAAATGACAGTCGGAAATGCAATTTCATGCACCAGCCCTGAATAAGAAACCGGGGTAACTTTGGGTGAATTGTTGCATGTAATGGATACTCAAACTTATTGTCAAATGTACAAAAGAGATACAATCCTTGCTTGCTCTTTATCCTCAATTTACTTTAGTTCTATTGCATAACTAAATAATTTTATAGGACACCGAATTCTCTCATCAAAGTGTAACAAGTTCTGAGATTCACTGGTAACAATTTTCCAAGGTACACTAGACAACCTAGATCATCACCACACCCAACCTAAAAGCAACTTAGCAGACACAGAAAGCTTTCCCTCTACGCTGCTGTTATACCCAAAACCTACTAATTATGGTTAACACCACCAGAAATAATAACCCATTAGGCGCTTGCAGTTAGTGCCATCAGCTTTAAGACGATCTAGTGCCATATGTCTCAGCAAAGTGCAACACAGATCCAACATCACAATGCACCTAACACTCCGTGCAACTATTTTAGGCTGCGTTTTGACGCGGTGTTTAATGTGAAGACTCGAGAACTAAAAGCAAATAAATGGGCGAGCGACCCCACAACTACCTCCTCGGATCCACGAACCGCGCTTAATCCTTCATCCTTGCACTTTCCCGTTGTAAACAGGAAACTCGGCCGAGAAAAGGTTAAGGAAACGGAGAGAAACCCATTTTCGCTTTTATAAAAGGAATAACGGCAGCGCTTCCAACCCCCACGACGTTGAGTGAACAAATGAAAACGCAAAAGGGAGGAAGTGACAGGGGTGGGCGGCTGGTGAGCTCACTTGCAAGTCCCAAGCGTGCCACCCGGCTCAGGGGTGCCCCCCAACATCTGCAACCGCAGCTGCAGCAGGGACAGCGGGATGAGGGGAAGCAGGGCGGCGGGAGCGCCCCGTTTCCTCCTCGGCCAACTCTCCTCCCGCCCCCACCCGATCCCCATCCCCATCCCCATCCTCCCCAGCCCATCCCGCCTGCTCCAGAGAGAACACCCAGCACCGGCACAGGCGGGGAAGACAAAGAGGCAGGGGGGCGGGGGCCTC